TTAGGTCATCCCTGTCCAATGGTTGTCCAGTCTATTTTTGAAAAACCTCCAGCGATGGAGCACCCTCAACTCCAAGAGGCAATATTCCGTTAATTACAGGTAGTCCTCGATTTACGACAGCAAATTGAGCCCAACATTCTGGTTGTTAAGTGAGACCTTTATCGAATTTTGCCCCATTTTACAATCTTTCCTGTCAATTTCCGTCGTAAGTCAAGGACTCCCCATGCCGTACCGCGGAGTGGGGAATTCTGAGAGCTGAAATCCACCCCTCTTCAAAAAGTTGCAGAAGTTGAAGAACCTTCCCCTCAAGTTGCATTGCTGGAATCTTTGTGCTCTCTTTTCGTGAACTGGCCTACCTTGAAAGGGTGTGGACATACCATGGGGTTTAAAAAAACTAGTCAGTCCAGGATGATAATAGACATTTACTCAGGCAGTCTTAACTTTAACCTCGAAATTTTACTGTTCTGATACCTATTTTTGAAAAAACACATTCTATAGATGGCCGGTTAGCTCAGTTGGTTAGAGCGTGGTGCTAATAACGCCAAGGTCGCGGGTTCGATCCCCGTACGGGCCAACTCCTTTTATTCAGAGGAAAATACAATCAGAGGACGGAATCCCCTATTTAAAATACGTTCCTATGTGCTTTTTGTTTAAAAACAACAACAACGTTGTGGTGATAAAGCTACCCTCTGAGTTGTAGGATTGGGGAACTCCTCCTGACCGACATAAACAAGGACCAACCCCTTAAAGCAGTGTTTCTCAACCTTGACAATTTTAAGGCATGTGAACTTCAACTCCCAGAATTCCACAGCCAGCAATGCTGGCTGTGGAATTCTGGGAGTTGAAGTCCACATGCCTTGCCGGCTGTGGAATTCTGGGAGTTGAAGTCCACATGCCTTAAAATGGTCAAGGTTGAGAAACACTGCCTTAAAGCTACGATTTAAAACAGCAAATTTACTTTTTCTTATTTTAGGGTGGTCCTGGGGAGTCTCCCCCCCTCTTCCTCCCCACCTTTTTCGATTAGCTTCCTTGCATTGCTTTTAAAACCTCCTTCAGTTATGGGGAACTTCGATGATTCACACAATCGCTGCTTCAACGGCCTGCAAAGTTTTCTTGACGGAAACGGGGTTGTCAGAACGCAGCAATCGGGACATTTTTTTTTAATTTGCAGAATAGTTGCCGCCGATGGCAAAAAAAAAAAAAAAAATGCTTTGCAAAGATTCCTGGTGGGAGAGTGGAACAAGATCCCGGGGCAGCCACATAAATCTGTGTCAGGCACGTGGCACGGATGGTTTCCCACTAGGGCCAAGCCGAGGGTGGAAATACTGTAGAAAAATGGATTTCTGTTCCGTTTCAAGCAAAAAAATAAAAAATAAAAAAAATGGAAAGTGGTTCCACTGGGGCTTGAACCCAGGACCTTCTGCGTGTAAAGCAGACGTGATAACCACTACACTATGGAACCCACCGTAAAAACAGCTGCCCTGATCTTGTATATGAGGAAATACAGACGATAGAGTCGCTTAGATCAGTGTTTCCCAAACTTGACAATTTTAAGGCATGTGGACTTCAACTCCCAGAATTCCACAGCCAGCAATGCTGGCTGTGGAATTCTGGGAGTTGAAGTCCACATGCCTTAAAATTGTCAAGTTTGGGAAACACTGGCTTAGATAAACGTAGAGGAGCGGTAGAAACGAAACGAGGAGCTAAAAGTCAAGCGTGAGAAAACAAAAAAAGAATTATTGCTTATTACTGCTTTGGCAAAACGGCGTCATCTCCCCAGATCCGTTTACGCAAACGCACGGAAGCCCTTTGCAAACGATTCCCACATCAAAAAGAAACATACGGCAACAGAAGAACGTCTGGGACGAGGTGGCCGAGTGGTTAAGGCGATGGACTGCTAATCCATTGTGCTCTGCACGCGTGGGTTCGAATCCCACCTTCGTCGACCAGTTTTATTGTCGTCGGCTTCCTCTTTTAGCAAAAGCAACCGAAACGGCCCAAGCCCTTCAAACGCTCCAGGCGCAAAAATGTCGAGGGTCCTCACGTTCAACGCGCATCACGGGAGGGTAGACTTGACTCCCCCCCCCCCCGGTCTTCTGCTAATCTCAACAGATCGGCTTTGCAAATCTACAACACTCGCACCTCACAACAGCGAATCCACCTAACACGCATCTCCGCCTTCCGTGGCTTCACACACCCCCATCGGTGGCTTTAGCTGTCGTGTGAATGCCGCCTAGGTTCTTTGCGAGTTTCCCAGATGGGCTCCAGGTGTAGATTCTATCAGTGGGAATGCATAAGAGAGATTAAGTGTTTTTTTTAATGCCAACCCTATGTCTAAAAGGACGATCAATATGCATATATAGATATTTGTCAGCATTTGAAGGATTATGTTACTATTCATACCAAAGGAATAAAGAGAAGAAGACAGGAAACGAAAGAAAATTGAGGACTTGGACTGCCGGATTGGATGCTACATTACCAAGCAACTATATTAACATGGATAAAAGACAGAATTTGATCAGATATTGCTGAAAACAGATGAAAAAATTGATTAAAAAAACTTTATAAATATTTGCTAAGCTTAAAGATGGAAGAGAAACAAGTAAACAAGCAAAGATAATATGTTAATACAGAATTAGAAAAGTGGCAAAGCTTATGGGAAAGAAACTTTAAAATAACAAAAGCGGCAACATATAAAGAAAACTTATACAAAATGTTTTATAGATGCCATTTAACACCGGTGAGATTAACAAAAATGTTTAAAAATAGGTCTAATAAGTGTTGGAAATGTAGACAAAAACCAGGTACTTACTATCATATCTGGTAAAATAACAGATTTTGGTCAAGAATACACATAGGGTTAGAGAAAATGATTAAAAAACAAATAGACTTTAAGCCAGAATTGTTTTTGTTAGGCATAAAGTAGGAAACTATGAGAAAGAATGTATATACTTAATTTTACACATATTAACTGCAGCGAGAATAGTAATTGCTCAACATTGAAAAAAGGAAAACCTAGCAACGGAGGCAGAATTAATTAAGAAAATCTTTGATTTGTGCAGAAATGGACAGATTGACATTGAAGATAAAAGAGAAAGAGGATTCAGTATATTTTAGAACATGGGATAATTTTTATCAATGGCTAGAAAACTGAGTTAGAGAGAAAGGAATGTGATATGTACTACTACTATGTAACATTAAATATGAATTAGAAAGGAGAAAACTATCGGGTGAAGTGAAGAGGTAAGAAACATATCAACATATTGATTACAAAAATATAGAAACTATTGCTGATTGTTTTTTAAACACATCAATCCAGACAATATGCTGTTTGCTAAATACTAAAGAATGTTATTTTATAAAAATTATATATATATATGTATGTATGTATGTATGTATGTATGTATATCCCAATTTCACGCGGGAGAAAATATATATATAAAAAACAGAACAAATATATATATATATATATATATATATATATATATATATATATATATATATATATATATATATAAAACAGAATAACATATATATAAAACAGAATAACAAGAGACACGGGAGAACGTTACCAAAAGCGTTGAATGTCTTAACAGGGATTTTTAAGTACATAACTTAGAACAGAGTTGGAAGGGACTTTAGAGGTCATCTAGTCCAACCCTCTGCCCACAACTTCTGGTCGCAAGCCGTTCCACTGCCGTTCACGCCGCCAGGAAACTTCTCATCAGTTCTAGGTTGGATCCATTCCTATCTAAATTTGGTATCCGCGTCCCCAGCGGGCGATCCTAGGGTTGCAGTTGAGTCTGAACAGCATCCAGAGGGCTAATATGAAGTGAGTTTTGTTTTTTTTCATGGGCACCGAAGAAAATCGACTCTGTTCTCTTTGGCGGGGGAAACAACGGAGAGGAAATGGAGGAAAGGAGACAATCCTTTGCAACATTTAAGTCGAAATGCTCGATTAAACGAAGAAAGAAAAATGCCATTGCTGGCACGTCACATCCGTTCCTTTAAAGCTTCGTAGGAGAAAGGCTGAAACACAAGCAGCAGAGTGGCGCAGCGGAAGCGTGCTGGGCCCATAACCCAGAGGTCGATGGATCGAAACCATCCTCTGCTAATTTCCTTTTCTTTCCCCCCCCAAATGCCATTATTTTTCAGCGCCGTTCTGGCAATTTGCTAACGGCAATCAATAGTTTTATTTGATTGCTGGAGAGATCGCGAGCGAAAGGATCGGGTGCTGCTCATGCTCGGACTGCAGAGAGAAAACACCTTACAGAACTTTTTTTTTTTAAGTGTCCTTCTTTGGCTAATATTTCCCACCAAACTTCGCAGAGAGGCAGCGCTTTTCGCGGCTGAAAATAAAGAAGGAACAGAATTGACAGAAGCATCTAGCTAATTTGCAAAGCGATGAAGGGAGAATGAATTTGGAGTAATTCTTCAAAACCTACACAACGGTAGTCAGGATGGCCGAGCGGTCTAAGGCGCTGCGTTCAGGTCGCAGTCTCCTCTGGAGGCGTGGGTTCGAATCCCACTCCTGACACAAGCCTTTTTTTCCGCCCCCCAAAGACAATTGCTTGTATTTAAATAGTACTTTTTAAAATAGAATTTTATGTCGCTTCTGTACGTTTGTTGGGACTTCACGTTGCCCTTCCTCAGGTGTATTAAAGCAAAATGTAAGGAGTACAATTTCTTGCAAGTACTCAGGGAAGAACTTATTTTTGGTCACCAATACATTCAATATCTACGTTATATTGAAGGAACCTAACTGTGAACTTAACAGATGCCGCTTATAAAATAAGACTACGGACAATTTTCAGGAAATGAAAAAGAAACTGCGATGCAAAGTTAAAAGGAGAAACACTCGCCATATTGACATAGTTGCCGTCTCTATTAATGGTATATTTGCTGAAGACTTCATTAAAGAGCACGAATCCCTAGATTTTAGGCAGATTCCAGCCGCTTTACGCTTGTGTCACAAAAGAAATAATACAGCTGCACACCGGGAGAATTAAACTGGACTCATATTCTATAAAACGGGTTGGAAATAGTAATCAATCCTAGGCTTAAGGAACGATCGTATTGCTGTGAGCATTTAAGATCTCGATCTAAATGTTCATAGGGAAGAGTTTGTGGATCTCGGCTCTTTTCAGGGAGAGGTGGTGGCTCTTAAAAGAGCCTTTGGGGGGGGGATGTTAATCGGCCTGGGAGGGCGGGGTCCTCACGCCCTCTCCCCGCGGATGCGGCGGGCCAGCTGGATGTCCTTGGGCATGATGGTGACGCGCTTGGCGTGGATGGCGCACAGGTTGGTGTCCTCGAAGAGCCCCACCAGGTAGGCCTCGCTCGCCTCCTGCAGCGCCATCACGGCCGAGCTCTGGAAGCGCAGGTCGGTCTTGAAGTCCTGCGCGATCTCGCGCACCAGCCGCTGGAAGGGCAGCTTGCGGATCAGCAGCTCCGTCGACTTCTGGTAGCGGCGGATCTCGCGCAGGGCCACCGTGCCGGGCCGGTAGCGGTGAGGCTTCTTCACGCCGCCCGTGGCCGGCGCGCTCTTCCGCGCCGCCTTGGTGGCCAGCTGCTTGCGGGGCGCCTTCCCGCCGGTCGACTTGCGGGCCGTTTGCTTGGTGCGAGCCATGCTATCGCCAACGCCGAATCCTCCGAGAAATGAAGCCTAAGGGCTCTGTGCCGGCCTTTTTATAGCCCGCGCCTTGAGCCTGATTGGCTGAATTCGAATATCTAGTCTTGACGCTGATTGGATACTCATTAAAACACTATCTTTATCTCGGTCTGCCTCCCCACGGTTCCTCAGTTGCACAGGCTTTGTTTCCACGCCCAGGGTAATCCGACCCTGAGTTACCCGTCCGTTACAAAATGTCTACTTTTCATTGTAATTATATCCTAAGAAAGACGCTTTTTATAGGTAAATGTATCATGTGGAGGAAGGTAAAGGTATCTACAGGATACTGTTTCACTTAGCAAGTTGACAAGCTCTTTCCTTGGCGATTGTTCTTATTGTCTTCCCCGAAACTGTTTCAAACGACTGCGTGAAATCCTGGGATTAAAATACGCAGTATTGGTACGTTTCATAATTTAGTTTTAAGTGTTATAACCAGAGTACTGGAGTATTATATTCCTATGTGTGTAAATTCGGCAAAATCCAATTCTGACATAAAGTGCAAATCCTTAGCATTTCGCTTTCATTTGCTCTGGCTTTATTCCTAGGGCATTATAAAAATGTCCAATTTTTATTGCTTTAAATAGCTTTGAGTGTTATAGGACAGGATGGCAATGTTCTGCAAACATACAGGATCCTGATTTTTGTCCGGGGGGGGGGCTCTGGTGTGTCCACAGGTGCGTTTTGAATAAGCAGAAATATGGATACAATTGTGGTTTTAAAAATTAGTATGATCTTTCTTGGATGAGATCTTTTTTAACTTTAAGATTAATGTTTGGGACGAAAATTGACCTATTTTAAATCTTCAGACACGACGTTTCGAAAGAGAAGCAACTTATATCAAGGTGGCTCTATGTAGAAAATAGGATCTATTTATTTTTTAAAAAAAAAATAACTCGTATTTTTTGCTTAGTGGCAAAAACTCGCTTTATTGCTTAGTCACCGGATTGGTGGCTAAGCTCTTGAAGGAATTGAACTGCATTAAGAAAATTATCCACTAACAGTAGCTATTTTGAAAAGCCCGCCAAGTAGGGGATTGGCTAATCAAGTCATCAGCACCATCCAAACAGCGACTTTCTTTTAGTTTGAAATTGCCCCCATGGCCAAAGCTTTTTATGCATCAGATACATCATTTTTCATTTTCCTTCTGTTTTTTAAAAAAGCTACTGTTTACAAACAGAACAATAAATAACTGTACAATTCTATCATTTATTGTCTTTAACAATGCACGGCAATCCGAACGGATTTTCTCGGTGCTATCCAGACTGAATTGGGGTTTCCAAAAAATACCTAGGGCTCCTGGACTTGATGGAATTCCGGAAGTGTGGTTTTTTTTCCCAACAGGCAAATGGACTTCCTTGAACATAATAAACATTTCGCTTCTCATCCAAGAAGCTTCTTCAACTGAACTGAAGAAAGGAGATTCTTGCATGAGAAACTTAAAAAAAAAAAAGCCCAAGTCGTTGCCTTCTAGAAAAAGCACCTTTGGGACAACCATGACCGGGAAAATTGAAAATCTCCAGAGACTTGATGGAATGTATCAAGTTTAGATCTATTCACCTGGGTTGCTAATTTCTACTTTTCATTGTGATTATGTTAAGATGTTTTTTACGTGTATTGTGTAATCTTAATGTTTCTGTGGAGGAAGGTGAAGGTATCTCGGGATACTGTTTCACTTAGCAAGTTGACAAGCTCTTTCCAGGAAAAGGTGGGTGGCTCTTAAAAGAGCCTTTGGGGGTCGTTCTGGGCGGCGGAGAGCGGGCTGGCTTTACTTCCCTTTGGCCTTGTGACTCTCGGTCTTCTTGGGCAGCAGGACGGCCTGGATGTTGGGCAAGACGCCCCCCTGGGCGATGGTGACTTTGCCCAGCAGCTTGTTCAGCTCCTCGTCGTTGCGGATGGCCAGCTGCAAGTGGCGCGGGATGATGCGCGTCTTCTTGTTGTCCCGGGCCGCGTTGCCCGCCAGCTCCAGGATTTCGGCCGTCAGGTACTCCAGCACGGCGGCCAGGTAGACGGGCGCCCCGGCCCCGACGCGCTCCGCGTAGTTGCCCTTGCGCAGCAGCCGATGCACGCGGCCCACGGGGAACTGCAGCCCGGCGCGGGAAGAGCGAGTCTTGGCCTTAGCCCTGGCTTTGCCGCCTTGCTTGCCGCGTCCAGACATGCTAGATTCAGAAGTAATTTACCAACGTTAGAAGATTAGTTCGGAGAATAATGCTTTCTGCTGGGCGCTTATGCCTCATTTTATTCACTCGAAGAGCTTGTAAATGCGCATTCCTATTGGTTAGTTTCTGCCGAGGTTCTTCTGCGTCCAATGAAAAAAAACAACTGTTTGTGAGAGCCCAATAGAGAAGAGGCGCTTTATGCCATCCAATAGGAATCGGATTCTCAAGGATCCGGTTATTTGCATAGTAAATGTACGGAAGTGGGTGGCGCTCTTCTTCTGAGCCAATGACAAAGGGACGTTTTGAGCACCTTCATTTGCGTACGGGCCCTATAAATAGGGGGCAGGCAGAGTTTCTTCTCCAGAGTTCAGTTTTTGTTTTGGATTGTTTTGTCTCTTCCGCCGTTTGATCATGCCTGAGCCAGCCAAGTCTGCTCCTGCGCCCAAGAAGGGCTCAAAAAAAGCGGTGACTAAGACGCAGAAGAAGGGCGACAAGAAGCGCAAGAAGAGCCGCAAGGAGAGCTATTCCATCTACGTCTACAAGGTGCTCAAGCAGGTCCACCCTGACACCGGCATCTCCTCCAAGGCCATGAGCATCATGAACTCCTTCGTCAACGACATCTTCGAGCGCATAGCTGGAGAGGCGTCCCGCTTGGCCCACTACAACAAGCGCTCCACCATCACCTCCCGCGAGATCCAGACAGCCGTCCGCCTCCTCCTGCCGGGAGAACTGGCCAAGCACGCCGTCTCGGAGGGCACCAAGGCCGTCACCAAGTACACCAGCTCCAAGTAAACGAGCAAATTCCCTTCATCAGACCCAAAGGCTCTTTTAAGAGCCACCTACTTTCTCAAAAAAAGAGCTGCGGCTATCTTTATTTAAAAGGCCACTTTGCAAAGACCTAATTGTTTCTAAGGTTTGACCTGAGGAATGTGTTTTGTGACATTTATTAAGTTACAGATGAGTAATGTGACTCCCAACTACTAAAGGGTCCTTAGATTCCTTATTTAAAAACTTAGTTTAAGACCTCCAAGAAAAAAATGCCTTAGGTGAGAATAATGCAAGTTACAAAACTAACTTCCTCTAGTGTTTGGCATGGACTATATTTAGAACAAGCCCAGTTTCCTACATGAAAATGTATAAATTCTATAAATGAATTTGCTGATATAGTTTTGTGGCTGTCTGAGAGGAGGGGAAGGGTCCTAGTTATAATAATAAAGTTGGAAGGGACCTTGGAGGTCATCTAGTCCAACCCCCTGCTCAGGCAGGAAACCCTATACCATTTCAGACAAATGGCTGTCCAGTCTCTTAAAAACTTCCAGTGTTGGAGCATTCACCGCTTCCAGAGGCAGGTTGTTGCACTGATTAATTGTTCTAACCGTCAGGAAGTTTCTCCTTAGTTCTAGGTTGCTTCTCTCTTTGGTTAGTTTCCATCCATTATCTTATGTCTTAAGCCGGGAGTCCCCAACCCCTGGTCTATGGAATGCCAGCAACTGGTCCGCACAAACCAGCAAAGCCCCGTCCATGGGATGCAGGCAGCATACAAACCCATGCACTCTCCAGTCCCCGGAAAAACTTTTCCCCACGGAACTGGTTGCGGGTGCCTAAAAGGCTGGGGACCTCTGTCCTAAGCAATGTTGTTTGGATTTCTCCCTATGCTTAAAAAAAAAAAAACCTTAGCCAAATGAAGTTCAGTACCCTTTACAAGTTTAACTCCTTACATTTCAGCATCATCCTGTGTGAATTCTAAATATAATGACGATAGGATTTTTTACACGAAGAGGAAAAATGTCCTAAATGGCCTGGTTAGCTCAGTTGCTGGACGTAAAGGGCCACAACAGTCTGCTGTTTTTACCTCTTTTTTTTGCCCCCTTTCCCCCGCTGCCACTTGGGACATGCTGCCGGATTAAAAAAAAAAAAATTAAGTACCCTCCCTAAGATATGACTACAAGAATACAGAAAAAGCTCAACCTCAAAGTTGGAAGTTCTTGTAAATCTCTCTAAAAAATTATTATTGAATGTAAAGATAAGAAAACAGGTTAAGAAAAGTCTAAAAAAAAAACCATACTAAAAATTACAGAAGTGGAGAAACATAAATTGGGGGGGGGGGAAATGATTTCCTTTTAAACGAAACCAGTTTGGCCTAGTGCAGGGGTAGGCAACCTTGGCTCTTTGATGACTCGTGGACTTCAATTCCCAGAATTCCTGAGCCAGCCATGCTGAGGGGAAAGGGAGAGGTTTCCAAGCAGAGCCATGCTGGCTCAGGAATTCTGGGAGTTGAAGTCCACCAGTCATAAAGTTGCCAAGATTGAGGACCCCTGATATAGGGCAGGGGTGAACCTTGGCTCTTTTATGACACGCGGACTTCAACTCCCATAATTCCTGAGCCAGCCATGCTGAGGGGAAAGGGAGAGGTTCCCAAGCTGAGCCATGCTGGCTCAGGAATTCTGGGAGTTGAAGTCCACCAGTTATAAAAGAGCCAAGGTTGCCTATCCCTGGCCTAGTGATTAAGGCCCCAGGCTAGAAACCAGGAGACTAATGTCCTGGCCTAGGCATGAAAGTGGCTAAGTGATTTTGGGCCAATCACCCTGTGAGCCCAACCCACTTCACAGGGTTGTTGTGGGGAAAATAGGGTAAACAAGGAACATTAGATGTTTGTTGCCTTGAATTATTTATGAAAATAACGAAGGTGGAATAAAAAATATTTGTGTGTATATATATATATATATATATTTGGAGAAATTTAAAGGAAGAAGAGAGGGAAATCGTACTTTATGTATTTGAAGGTATTTTATATCACATTAACATAAAACCTTCCCTACCATTTCAATCAAAAAAAATCTCTTCATCCCAGATCTTTATCTATTAGCAAACAATAAAGTTATCATTCAATTTTGATTGGCAAAAATCCACTAAGAAAATTCTTTTAAACCTCCAAGGGTTAATAGCTTTAGCTTTTAGGAAGCTTGGAAAAAATTCAGAGAAGAGCGACTAAGATGATCAAAGGCCTGGAGGCCAAAACATACGAAGAATGACTGTGGGACTTGGGTTTGGTTAGTCCAGGGGTAGGCAACCTCAGCTCTTTTATGACTATGGACTTCAACTCCCAGAATTCCTGAGTCAGCCATAAAAGAGCCGAAGTTGCCTACCCCTGGGCTGGTCTAAAGAAAAGAATAAATAGGGACGACATAATAGCAGTATTCCAGTATCTGAGGGGCTGCCACAAGGCAGAGGGGGTCAGTTTGTTCACCAAAGCACCAGAGGGAAGGACGAGAAACAATGATTGGAAATTGATCAACCTGGAATTAAGGAGAAACTTCCTGACGGTAAGGACAATCAACCAGTGGAACAGCTTGCCACCAGAAATCGTGGGCACTCCATCACTGGAGATTATTAAGAAGAGACTAGACAGTCACCTAGTATAAGTTCTTCTGCTTGAGCAGGGGGCTGAACTAGAAGACCTCCAAAGCCCCTTTCAGCTCTATTCTATTCTAGAGTTCAAAATTATAAGACTGAGACTTCCTTGGAAATCTCCGCAAATACTCTGCACATCTTCACATCCTTGGGGGGGGGGGCAGGAAAGGCTACTCTCAGAATGACATAGATTTCTTAAAACTGTACCCAACTGAATTGATCATGTTGACGAATTAGCCTGTTTTCTGGCATGGTATTCCAGGTAATTGTACAAATGGAATAAGTATAAATCAATGAACCCAGTGTTTTTTGTTTACCATAGTTTTTTTTTTTAACAATGCCACAGAATTCTTTGTTTCTAATGACAGATGAGTATTTGTCTGCGCAGATTCCTTGGTTAATCTGGCATTAGCACTATAATGGGGGGGGGGAGTGAATTTATGACGTCCAGAGATAAACTGAAGCTCGTGTGAACAAAAAAAAAAAAAAAATTAGCACTGCGTTGGCCGGGAATCGAACCCGGGTCAACTGCTTGGAAGGCAGCTATGCTCACCACTATACCACCAACGCTTGCATATTTGCTCTTTTCTAAGCTAACAATTCCTAGAGGTTGCGTTTCTGGCTTTCCACACGGTGGTGCTATTGGCTAAACATGTGGATTCTCTCAGCTCCTCCAATAATTTATCCTTCCTGCTTCATCAAACTTTCTTCATCATGCAATTAAAAAAAAAAAACCCATATTTTCCAGCCCTCCAACAAGAAAAAGTAAACCCCCAAATCCGGATTCCTTCATAAGTGGCCGATCCAGGCAAAGCAAAACCTATGAACTGTTTCGAGGCAGAGTTAAACAAGCCTGCCCTCAGGATGCGAGTTAACTTCCCAGGAGTAATTTCCCAGGAATAACTTTCCCAGTGAGGAAGAAAAGGTCAGTGCTCCAGGTGAGGCTCGAACTCACAACCTCGGCATTGCTAGAGGCAAAGTACTGCTGTATAAGTACCGCGCGCTAACCGATTGCGCCACTGGAGCGACCGCCTGCATTGTTGTTTCTCAATCTTAGCAACTTTAAGATGCGTGGGTTTCAACTGCCAGCTTGCTGGCTGGGAAATTCTGGGAGTTGAAGTCCATGCATCTTGAAATTGCTAAGATTGAGGAACACAATTAGAAGTACGCAACAGGTTAACTCTCAAATGTAAAATTACTTGCCTGTAGCTCAGAAAATTTATTGTGTAAACTTATTGCCCATAAAAAACCAGCAACCATTTTAAATTGGAGCCCAGGATCTATAGCAGTGTTTCTCAACCTTGACCATTTTAAGGCACGTGGACTTCAACTCCCAGAATTCCACAGCCAGCAATGCTGGCTGTGGAATTCTGGGAGTTGAAGTCCACGTGCCTTAAAATGGTCAAGGTTGAGAAACACTGATCTATAGAGTTTTCCTTGACGTTCAGGAATTACCCTGAAAACGTGTGAGGGATCCGTCCCAATCAATTAATTTCTCTCTCTCTCTCTCTCTCTCTCTCTCTCTCTCTCTCTCTTTTTTTTTTTTTTTTGTACATGCCCTGGCCTATCAACTGCTTTTCCTCTACTCCTGTCCCTTGTGGAACGATTAAATTGTTGTAGCTATTAAGTTACTAGTAAAAATTAAGTTATTGGCTTTGTTGTGTATTTCCTCAATGGGAGCCATTATTACATTAGGCTCCAAGAATGCATTGTCCGTTGATGAATTCGTGCATCCACTCTCCAGATTTACTTAATATTATTAAGCTTCTTAGTGGCTCAAAACCGATGGAAACAAATGTTTGGGGGTTTTTTTTAAAAGAAAAGGTTGTCAAATGTTTGGGGGTTTTTTTTAAAAGAAAAGGTTGTCAGGAGTGGGATTCGAACCCACGCCTCCAGAGGAGACTGCGACCTGAACGCAGCGCCTTAGACCGCTCGGCCATCCTGACTTCTCTATGGAAAAAAAGCTTTTCCCTAACGTGTTTGGCAGCAGGCTATTTTTAGCATGATTTCTTTATATGCTTCATTGAGCAATAGCCGTACCATACATTAAGAAATATGAGGACAACATACACTTATTATAATAACTTAAGTAGTCGTGGCCGAGTGGTTAAGGCGATGGACTAGAAATCCATTGGGGTCTCCCCGCGCAGGTTCGAATCCTGCCGACTACGAAAATCTTTTACATCAAATAACCTAAATAAAGTAAATAATATCAAAATATAAAATAACCAAATAACTTACCTTCGCGTTTCTTCCACACGTTTAAAGTCGTTTCTTTTAAAAGTTTGCCAGATGATTTTCTGAAAAAAAATGATTTATCACCTCTCCTTTTGAACCTCAGTTAATATATCATTGCAATTTATACTTGAATATTATTATAGCATATTATATTAATTTTACTAATACCCTGTCCCTGCTCTCACCCCAACATGCCAACATCTCATTTGATTTGGATTTAGAGTGCTGTGTGCGTCCTGTCAATTGTGGCTTATGCAAACCATGGCTTACTGAAGTATATGAAACCCACTTGCTTGGACTGCATGGTTAAAACCTTTATTTTTTTATTATCTAAATACAATATCTCGTTATTAGGGGTGGATTTAATTACAGATTTATTTTCATTTTACCCAATTCAGGGGTGTCTGCATTCCACTTTCTTGAGCTGAAGGCTCCGGGGTGCTTTCTTTGCGAGAGTTGATTTGGAAACGTTGATTTCTGGTCGGGATCCCCAATTGTGCACTTTGCCTATGCTCAGAGGTAGCCTTTTCAAAGCCATTCGAGTTCCACTAGGGCTCAGGTCCAAATAGTGTATAAATAAAGAGCAGAAGGAGGCACGCTTCTTGCTGCTAAACCATTCGTGAGCAGCATTATTTTTTTAATATGGATTTTTTCCTACTACCAGGAATTTTGAAAGCTTTTTATTACAAGGCGTTGGTGGTATAGTGGTGAGCATAGCTGCCTTCCAAGCAGTTGACCCGGGTTCGATTCCCGGCCAACGCATCTGATTTTTACTTCTAACCCTGTTAGTTTAAAATGTGCCTCTACAATGATATACACAGAAAAGCTTTCAAAAGAAACCCTTTAAAAGGTTTTTAATGGGAGTAACGAATGGATTTCCAGAGAACATTGCTGACTACAAGAACCATTTGTTTTGTGACCACACAGACTCATCCCCAACAGCCTTGCGCCTGTCTTCAACAGGGAAGAAAAACATCCTGCAGCCAAGAAGGCTCCACCCCCATTTGCACCACTCAGGTGACCCTGAGCCACAGGTAAACCTCCAAATGTCTTCAACGACTCTCTAAAACAAGGGTCTTCAAATGTGGCCCTTTTTTGACTTTGTGGACTTCGACTCCCAGAATTCCTCAGCCAGCGTGTCTGGCTGATGAATTCTGGGAGTTGAAGTCCACTAGTCATAAAAGGGCCAAGTTTGAAGACCCCTGCTCTAAAAGAAGGCAAATGACCAGCTGTCTGCAAGGAGTATAAATCCTTCCATTCCCCACCATCCAGCCAGAACTGAAGAAGCTTCCTGGATGAGAAGCGAAATGTCTTCAGAGAAAAACAAGAAAGTCCAGTTGCCTCCTACAACAGCACCATGGGGACAACCAGGACCTAGATGACTGAGAAACTCCATAGGCATTTTTAATAAGAAAATAAGGAATTATATCTTTTATACGATGTCTTTATATTCTATTCAGCTGCAACTTGATCTCCTCTTACTAAAGAAACTTCTGGATACGGTAAGAGTGTTCATGCTAACAGATTCCAGAAAGACCACCTAGCTAGCACTTGCCTTCCCACAAGGCAATAAGTCTGGCTAATTTTAAACCTTTTGCTTGTTGGCTTGGCCTGTTCCACAAATTCACCCCGTTAGTTGAGTTTCTACGGTTGACCATGGTATATATCTGATCATGGTTGAATTCTGAATCCTAATCCTTGCTGAGATGTCAATATACTGAACGAATTCAGGGAATGATTAATTGTACGGAAAAAAGATAGGTGTGAATTTAAGATTTGATCCTAAAGACCTTATTGACTTGCCTCAAAGGGTGAAAGGAGAACACCTACTTGCCTTTGTTGTTAAAAACTTCATTCCAAAATTCAAAACAGAATAATGTTTTTATTTGGTCATCAAAACATCTCCAAAGAACAATGTATTTTTCTTGTGGACTAGCAGCTGGATAGTTTTTACCTTGCTTAAAAAAAACAATTGCTTGGCTTTTTCCTCGTTAGTATAGTGGTAAGTATCCCCGCCTGTCACGCGGGAGACCGGGGTTCGATTCCCCGACGGGGAGGCTGTAACTATTTTTTATTTTTTATTTATTTTTTGGTGATGATTTCACCTTTCTACCAGGGGAGGGTGTAATAATTTATTATTATTATTATTTTGGTGGTGATTTCACCTTTCTACCAGAAGAGTGAAAAGCAGGAAAGATGGAATGTTATTTTTTAAATGGTCTAAATAGGGTACTTATAGTGAAGTTTTTCTCAAATTTGCTAACCTAAAACCCTTGGGGGGGGGTCTTTGATACTCTCTGAGCTTGGTTGTTTTCTTATAGACCTTTCATTACCCAAACATGGTAACATGATCAGTGCTACTGCACTATATAGTACACAGCACCCTAGCAACAACGATGTTATTAGCCTGGATCATGAAATGTCTGCAAGAAAGCAACTAAGCTCAGCGTGCACCAAGGAGCCCTCGTGTCAACCCCGAGCTACAAATATTTTCCTTTATTGCTAAAACACCTTTTTTTTTTTTTTGTAACTCCAGGAAACCACAGTTATAACTTGCAGTAGAAGCACCTTCCAGATGCCTTCTTTTAAAAAAAAAAAATAGTATCGATCAGGTTGCACAGGAGAACAGCCAAAGGAAAACGATTAATTCAACAATATTTACTCATGGAAGAGAGAAGAGGAAAAATGCTCAAAATGGTGGTGATGATCTTGTGCGCAGACACTTGAGCCATATCCTAAAATACATCTTTCATGGGACAAGTGTGAAGATGGTTGATAAGGAGAATTAGTTTCATACCTTCAACTGCAAGTCTTCACTTGAAAAGTAGAGATTTACCAGAATTGACCAACCTAGACAATGGCCTTCGGGAGTTGTTTACCAGCCGAAATACAGAGCCTGGATAGCTCAGTCGGTAGAGCATCAGACTTTTAATCTGAGGGTCCAGGGTTCAAGTCCCTGTTCAGGCGATTGCTTTTTATTTTTATTTTCCTTTCTCAATGCTTTGTTCTTACCTTGGGGCACTGTCTCTGCTCAACATGCGATCCGTTTCTGATAAGGACTATGAAGGCCAAGGAGTGCAGATATATAATGATTAATTTGGGGGCTTGGAATCATAGTATTCTGCTGTTTCTTCTCCTTGTTAAATAACATTTTTGCTTTAGTTTACCTATGAAGCTTTAATTTGCAAACAGACTGCATTTGGATGGGAATTTAGAGAATTCAGACAGCATATTTTGATTTGCTTTTTTTTTTAACCACAGCTGTTTTTTTTTAATTAAATAACTTTTCTTTTAAGTGCCTAAGGTTCAAAATCCTCGCTTTGGGGACGATTCCACTCTGGTAAAAATGCAGGAGATAAATTTTACTAATAAATAAATAAATGTACAGAGATGCTTATGAAAACCAGCAGAGATAATCTGAATTCGTTTTGGAACCCTGCAGAGTTGACCAGTACTGCTGCTCTAAACAGATAATATGAAATATCTGGCAGTATTTTAAGTTTTTGATTGTGTATTACAGTATCTTTGCCGTATAATATTTTAGATAAACTTGTTGGTTAACTGCAACGTATTGACCATCTGCCATGTTTTATTGATTATCCTTTTCATTATCCGTATCACATTTTCTATATAGCCACTGATAGAGTTATTTGAGCTATGGCAAATCTAGGCAGCATACTAAAAAGCAGAGACATCACCCTGCCAACAAAAGTGCGTATAGTCCAGGCCATGGTTTTCCCAGTTGCAATGTATGGCTGTGAAAGTTGGACCGTAAGAAAGGCTGAGCGCCAAAGAATTGAGGTCTTTGAACTATGGTGCTGGAGAAGACTCCTGCGAGTCCCCTGGACTGCAAGGCGATCAAACCAGTCAGTCCTAGAGAAGATCAACCCCGACTGCTGTTTAGAAGGCCAGATCCTGAAGTTGAAACTCAAATATTTTGGCCACCTAATGAGAAGGAAGAACTCACTGGAGAAGGGCCTAATGCTGGGAAAGATGGAGGGCAATAGAAGAAGGGGACGACAGAGAATGAGGTGGCTGGATGGAGTCACTGAAGCAGTAGGTGTGAACTTAAATGGACTCCCGAAGATGGTAGAGGACAGGAAGACCTGGAGAAACGTTGTCCATGGGGTCGCGATGGGTCGGACACGACTTCGCAATTAACAACAACAACAAAGAGTTATTTGAAAAACATAAAAAACCAACCTGTTAACAACAACAACAACAATAATAATAATAAAGTTGGAAGGGATCTTGGAGGTCATCTTCATTTCAGACAAATGGCTGTCCAGTCTCTTCTTAAAAACTTCCAGTGTTGGAGCATTCACCGCTTCCGGAGGCAGGTTGTTGCACTGATTAATTGTTCTAACCGTCAGGAAGTTTCTCCTTAGTTCTAGGTTGCTTCTCTCCTTGATTTGTTTCCATCCATTGTTATTTGAGACTCAATGGTCACCTCCCCTTACATGTTTATACTTTTTTATTACCTGTCATATTTTCATTATAGTCTGTTAACTGTATATTTTAAAATACTAATACTAATACTACTATTAATACTATTACTACTACTACTACTACTACTACTACTAATAGTTTGCACAATTATTAAGCAGCCAACCAACAGACTTCCCGCAGCTGGTGAGATTCTATAATATAGCCCTACGGCAGTCAACAAAAGCTCTCCTTAAATATTGGGGATAATTATGCAGAATTTTGCAACACCCGGAATACAATTTTAAAAAAAGATGACCTACACTGAAATATGCAAAAATTGTTACCTAGACAAAAGAGATGTTGAAACGTTTTTAAAGCCTAGGGCTTTAAACCCTAGAACTAAGGAGAAACTTCCTGACAGTGAGAACAATTAACCAGTGGAACAACCTGCCTCCAGAAGCAGTAAATGCTCCAACACTGGAAGTTTTTAAGAGGAGACTGGACAGCCATTTGTCCGAAATGGTGTAGGGTTTCCTGCCTGAGCAGGGGGTTGGACTAGATGACCTCCAAGGTCCCTTCCAACTTTACTACTACTATTATTATTATTATTATTATTAGTAGTAGTAGTAGTAGTAGTAGTAGTAGTAGTAGTATTGGTATTATTAGTATTATTATTAATATGGTAACCTTTGAAAGTGGCTCAGACAGATTTACTTGAGATACAGGCAATGCTTGACTTACCACCACAATCGAGCCCAAAATTTTTTGTTGCTATGCGAGACATTTGTTAAGTGAATGTTGTCCCATTTTACAACCTTTTATGATAGAGAAAATAGAGGAAAATCAATTTACAGTTCCTAGAAAGAGGGAAAAAAATTGATCTCTTGTACTGATTACTGAATGAAAACTAATAGTATGGATGCCAAGAACAGAACCAGCAGCCCGGCTAGCTCAGTCGGTAGAGCATGAGACTCTTAATCTCAGGGTCGTGGGTTCGAGCCCCACGTTGGGCGCAAGCTTTTTTTTTTTTTTTTACCCTGGGCATTTAAAATCCTAACCTTTCCACTTCAGACTTATATTTCGTTCGGTAAAATCGGTAGCCAATCTCATACTGCAGCCTTGGACTTTAAGCAAAATGTCTCCAAATTTGATTTCCTTGTCAAAAACAAATTGAATATCTGTGTATGTCGATTTCTTTAAAATTTAAAAAATAAATTATATTTTATATCGTTTGGGGTTTGAGGGTTAAGTATCTCGAAGGACACTGTCAATTGGTTAAGGGTGACTGGGGAAAGGGATCTTAACTGATGCATTCCGGGTTGTAACAGAATCCAAATCGCAGGACGGACCTGCCGCAGAAAAAAGTTGTTTATGACAACAGTCAGTGGGTTACGAGACCGAGGGAGCTCAAACAACGGGAGAGCAAAGAATATTTTTATAGAACCAAGGGCCATAAGGCGGGAAATCTTAGGGATCTGTTTTGCTGGCCAGATCTGGAGAAGCTAAGACTGACCCTTTCCCGCGTATCTGAGATTACCTGTACCCCGTACTGTGTAGTATTTCTGTTGTTAAGCAAAGCGGCCCTTTCAAGTCCGTTGTTAGGGCGATGGAACGTTGAGATAATCGGGGGGGGGGCGTGTCCTTGATTGAAGATGGAACGTTGAGGTTTCTCACCTGGTCACTATGTTGCAATTCAATGATTAGGCATTGCAACGAAGCTGCACGGTGAGCGAGGCGCTTATGGTTTGAATATTTATTTACTTGTTGCATTTTATTTGCCTTCTGTCTGGCCGTGGGGCTACTCTAGGCTGCTTACCACAGAGAAGATGGAGAACTGAAAAGAAGTGTAAGCATAACATAGTAAAGTAACGGAACAACAACAACAACAAAAAGACAACAGTGATACACAGGTATGTTGGGAGGAATTGCCCCGTTTTGGAGTTTAAAGTTGAGTGACAATTCAGCACAAATCCCCGGCTAGTAGAAAAGAGTGGTCTCCAAGCGTGATTTTTTTTATACCTTTTCTTGATTTTCAAAACTGTCATTTCTAATTCGTGGAGCAGTGTCTATTGATGGGCCGCTAATTTATTAGATAATTGCTCAGGAAAAAGGTTAAACCTTGCCTCAGGAAAGGATCTGGTGTGTTTCTAGGCGTTTTATTGTTCTTATGTTTTTTTCTGTGTCCCTGTTCTAATCCTGTCAGTCTTAATTGTCGATAGCCGGCCTCGCATTCCGGCGGTTAAGCTTATCTTAAATGTTTAAGCTGATATTCTGTAGCTAGCATGTTAAGTGTTTGTTTTGCCTTGGTCTGCTTAGCTTGGAGTCGAGTCAGACTGATTTTCTTTCCACTGTTTTTTTTTTTTTTTCTGTATTGGCCAATGTATTTCTTGTTTAATTAAATTATGTCCTTTTATTGGGGTGAAGGGGAAGAGGATATGAGAATAAAAGATGGGCTAATGGGGAAGGAATGGGGGACAGTAGTACGGTGATATGGTAAGCATGCTTTATTGATATCTGTCTTGGGGGAGAGGTTGCTGTTAGTGTTCTTTTGTTTTATAGTTTTGATTTATTTCTGTGGTTGGTTTTATAATTTTCCTTCATTGCATCCCACCCAGAGTCTTGTTTGATGGCTAAACAAACAAATAAGTATCTCTCTCTAGGGCTAGATGTAGCTTTTTAACCCCTCCAAGTCTCCCTCAAGTCAAATTTGGCTTCTGGAGAAATACATGCATATTTCCAAACATTTTTTTTCTTTTTCTTTTTTTTTTTGGCAGGAAAGCAGATGGGAATCGTTGACATTCAGCTTGTCATTAGATTCAACGCTGCTTTCTCAGCGCGGAAGAAAAACATTTTAGATGAAAATCGCTTTGCTTTTGGTTTTTACACTGATGTTTGAAAGCGGGGAAAAAAAATCTTTTTGAAAAGCTACACTGGCAGCGGTGGGATTCGAACCCACGCCTCCGAAGAGACTGGAGCCTTAATCCAGCGCCTTAGACCGCTCGGCCACGCTACCGCACGATTGGAAGTCATGTAGATGACTCGGGAATTCTGGGAGTTGAAGTCTACACGGGTTAAAAGTTGCCAAATTTGAACAACTGCTGATATAGTCAAAACCCCCAGGGATACCTTGTTAGTATCACAATCCAAATCTCAACACCAGGACCTCCTCGACTTACTGGCGAATAAGATATCTCAAATTTCTTGAAATGTTTTAAAACGGCTAAAAAACATTCCGGGTCAGATCATGAGAATGTTAAAGCGGGGCGAAAGGAAACCAGGTTGCATTAATAAATTACTCCGATTAAAAGCAACTATTAAAAGTCGCAATTAAAAGCAGCGACTGAAGAGCAACTAAGATGATCAAAGGCCTGGAGACTTAAAACAAGTGAAGAACGGCGGCAGGGCTTGGGTTTGGCTAGTCCAGGGGTAGGCAACCTTGGCTCTCTTATGACTCGTGGACTTCAACTCCCAGAATTCCTGAGCCAGCATGGCTGCCTCAGGAATTCTGGGAGGTGAAGTCCACGAGTCATAAAAGAGCCAAGGATGCCTACCCCTGGATTAGTCTAAAGCAGTGTTTCTCAACCTTGACAATTTTAAGGCAAGTGGACTTCAACTCCCAGAATTCCACAGCCAGCAATGCTGGCTGTGGAATTCTGGGAGTTGAAGTCCACATGCCTTAAAATTGTCAAGGTTGAGAAATACTGGTCTAAAGAAAAGAAGAAATAGGGGAGACATGATAGTAGTATTCCAGTATTTGAGGTGCTGCCTCTAAGAAGAGGGGGTCAAGCTATTGTCCAGAGCACCAGAGGGCGGGAAAAAAAACCATGGATGGAAACTGACCAAAGAGAGAAGCAACCTGGAATTAAGGAGAAACTTCCTAACAGTGAGGACAATTAACCAGTAGAACAGAGGTTTTTAAGAAGAGACGGGGTAGTAACGTCTCTGAATTGGTACTATAGAGTCTCCTGCTTGAGCTGGACTAGAAAGAACACCAAGACCCCTTCCAGTTCTGTTCTATTTTAAGTGGAGACCGGAAAGGGGAGGGCGAAAAAAAGGCAAGCGAATCAAGATTTGGGCGCGAGATTCAAATTCGAAAAGAGCCAATGGGGAGAGAGGGCGCGGGTATAAATTCCCAGGAAGAGCGCCTCACTCCTCAAAGCTCCGCTCCTTCGCTGGGATGGCTCGCACCAAGCAAACGGCCCGCAAGTCGACCGGCGGGAAGGCGCCCCGCAAGCAGCTGGCCACCAAGGCGGCGCGGAAGAGCGCGCCGGCCACGGGCGGCGTGAAGAAGCCTCACCGCTACCGGCCCGGCACGGTGGCCCTGCGCGAGATCCGCCGCTACCAGAAGTCGACGGAGCTGCTGATCCGCAAGCTGCCCTTCCAGCGGCTGGTGCGCGAGATCGCGCAGGACTTCAAGACCGACCTGCGCTTCCAGAGCTCGGCCGTGATGGCGCTGCAGGAGGCGAGCGAGGCCTACCTGGTGGGCCTCTTCGAGGACACCAACCTGTGCGCCATCCACGCCAAGCGCGTCACCATCATGCCCAAGGACATCCAGCTGGCCCGCCGCATCCGCGGGGAGAGGGCGTGAAGACCCAGACCGATTGACATCCCCCCCCCCCCCAAAGGCTCTTTTAAGAGCCCTCTCACTTTCCTCCGCGGAAGGAGCTGAAATCCGCTCAACAAGGTTTCTCTTTGGATCGCCTTGGACTCGTTTCAAAGGGCTAGACTCAAGCAGTGTTTCTCAACCTTGACAATTTCAAGGCATGTGGACTTCAACTCCCAGAATTCTGGGAGTTGAAGTCCACATGCCTTGAAATTGTCAAGGTTGAGAAACACTGGGAGACTAAAAGCTGTCCAGAGAGGTAAATGCCTGTGGAGAGTCTAGGTCAGTGGCTCTTAACCTTTTTGAACAAATTGCCCCCTTGAACCAATGAGAAAGTTGTCATTGCCCCCCTCCCCCAACATAACCTACATAACCACAACATAGGAAATAATTCTTCAATTTATGCAAACACTTGTTTTTAAAATTGTCATCAGGACATATCGATGCACATAGTTTATTTCCAGTCTTTTTCCCATATCTCAACTGAAAAGTTTTGGTGCTACCCGGCACTTTATTCCCAAGCTTCGTGATACATGTATTTCATTATTATCTTATTTATTCAAGAAACTTAAATGTAATCACCACTGAAAACAAAATTCAATTGCAAGAAAGTGAAATGCCCGAAAAGAAAAACACAATTCAATCCACTAATAGCGAGTGATCTGATGTTTTTGTACGACAGATATACAGTGATTCACTGTACGAAAAAGTCTCAAAAGTGTCCCCAAAACTTCTTGCTCCATTGCCCCCATATTGCCCCCTTTTCGTTCCTTCGCCCCCCTGAAAAACAAAATCGCCCCCTGGGGGGCAATATCGCCCAGGTTAAGAACCACTGGTCTAGGTCATCCAGGTCGTGGTTGTCCCAAAGGTTGTTTTTTCGGGAGGCAACTGGACTTTGTTTTTTTTTTTGAAGACCTTTCGCTTCTCATCCAAGAAGCTTCTTCAGCTCTGATTGGATGATGGGAATGGAAGGATTTATATTCCTCCCAGCTGTCTGCAAGGAGTATAAATCCTTCCATTCCCCACTATCCAGTCACAGCCGAAGAAGCTTCTTGGAGGAGAAGTGAAATGTCTTCAAAAGAAAAGCAGTCTAGTTGCCTCCTAAAAAAAAGCACCTTTGGGATAGTTTGAGAGCTACTTTTCCCAGAAAAGCCCTTTTAATAAAAGTTAAACCGTATATAAGTAGCCTTTTATATCTTGAGTTTCAAAACTGCTTTCTTAGAAAGTGCTCACCTGTCATCTTCACTGGGTGGGGGATGGGGACTTAAAATGTACAGATTGTAGGGCCTTTTGCCTGTAAATAAAGTTGATTGATTGAAAAGATAGAGAGTTATGAAAGCCCAGTGAAATGTTTTCTCTGTCATTCTCCCCATCAGATATCAAAATGGCTCTGCCTTGAATTTCTAATTGTGCCTGTGCTTGCATCGTTTTAGAACAGTGGTTCTCAACCTTTTTAATGCCGTGACCCCCAACCGGTCGTAAATCGAGGACTACTCAACTGGTGCAGCACCGTTTGCAGAATGGGACTTTTGGCGGGCTCAGCAGGGCAGAGACAGCCTGGACAATTCCTACTGGCTTTGGAAAGCCAATAGAATTAGACTCTATTCAAGAGAGTCTGTTCTACTGGCTTTAAAAGCCAATAGAATAAAAGGGAGTAGCACAGCTAAGGAAAAGGGGGAAAAAATGGCGGACTGCGTTGTTTGGCGACCCCGTGAAATGGTCGTTCAACCCCAAATGAGGTCCCGACCCACAGGTTGAGAACCATTGTTTTAGAAAGTCCTGAAAAAACATATAGGGCATTTCACACTCTAGGTATTGCACAATACTATTTTATTAGAATATAATAATAATAAAGTTGGAAGGGACCTTGGAGGTCATCAAGTCCAATCCCCTGCTCAGGCGGGTAACCCTATACTATTCAGAACAAAAAGCTGTCCAGTGTCTTTTTTAAAACTTCCAGTGTCGGAGCATTCACTGCTTCTGGAGGCAGGTTGTTCCACTGGTTAACTGTTCTAACTGTCAGGAAGTTTCTCCTTAGTTCTAGGTTGCTTCTCTCCTTGGTTAATTTCCATCTGTTGCTTCTTGTCCTGCCTTCAGGCGCTTTGGAAAATATTCTTTATTGGCCAGGTGTAATTGGACACACAAGGAATTTGTCTGAAGTGCATTAGCTCTCAGTGCACATACAAACAACAAAGTGATAGGTCACGGATCATAAATCAGAATTATAATCATTAATCCTCAGATACAAACAACAATTGATAAATCATAATATACCAATAGGAGAAGGTAGTAGGAAAGATGAAAAGATGAGAAGATGAGAAGGATAATAGCAATACAACCTAGTACATGGGTTAATATCTTTAGGCCTAAGACAGTGCTGTGGGAATTAGGTGTTATGTTTGGGTTTTATTGCATTGATTGTATTTTGTAAACTGCCAAGAGGCTGTTGAAGTGGTGGTGCATCTAATGAATTAATAAAATGAGTAAAATCTGAACAATTACTAGATGAAAGAATAAAGTTAACACTTGGCCATACAGATTTTTTTTTAATTGTAGATAGATATGGAAACTCTAATGAAGTAACTATTGATCCTGTGTTTATGCCCACAATTGCCGACATATTTTTTACATTTAAAAAAGATATTTCTTTAATGATTAGGAGTTGTAACAGTAGCAACGTTTAGTGCAATCAGTAAAGTTAGTAAACGATTTTTTTTTAATGCTTTGCTATCCAGGCAGCTTGGAAATATGCCATTTTTTTGCTGTCCTTAAAAAATACATATAAATGCAAAAGAGGTTCTGTCCAAATGTCATATTAGAAAATAAAGAAAGGAAAAACGAATTGCGTTGGCCGGGAATCGAACCCGGGTCAACTGCTTGGAAGGCAGCTATGCTCACCACTATACCACCAACGCTTCGCGGATCTTTAGTTTGGAAAACATCTTTAGATCATAAACACTAGATGCATTTTTTTATTATAAAGTGTTAGGAAGTGATCAAGACACCAGATGGCGCTATGGGTTCTGAAAACAGATTCGACGTGTCAGTAATTTGCTCTGCCCATTTACTTTTTCTCTTCCTACAATTAAATGTCAATCATACCTATCTTTACCGAATTTCCTTATTGAAGTGGACAATCAGTTGTAAGGCGTTTGCAGTGGCTGTAAGAACAAGGGTACTTACAGTAGTAAACGAGAAGTATTGAAACTTTTGTAACAACAGTATTTATTTTTTAAATCATTGACTTAGAACTGGAAACTTCAGAAAAGTGAGGGAAAGATACATGTTTATTCCTTGTTTTGGCTAATAGCAAATACGCCCGCAAGATTTTACGATATGGAAAAATCAAAGGGGAAAAAAAAACTTTAAATGAAGCCCTTGACTTTTAGTTGACAAAAGTTGCCATTTCTTAATTTTTTTTAATTTAGTGTTTCTGAAACTCAGCAACATTACGATGTATGCAGTTCGGCTCTGACAATTCCTCAACTCGATGTGTTGGAGTCCACACAACGTAAAGTTGCTGAGGTTGAGAGACATTGTTTTATTCCATATTGTTCGCATCTAGTGACTTTCATTCAGCTTGGAAAAAGCGGAGCACTTCGGTCACTTTTGATACGTGGATAGGAGACTACCAGGAAATCATTAGGGTTTTAGGTTAGATTGAAACTTAGGAAAAGCATCCCAGAGAAGACAGCAGACCTTCCCTTTGTGCATGAAAGCGAACACGATTTAATAAGGGTCTCTGTCTCTTTCCCTACATTTTATTGTTTTAGATAAATGTCAAACATGTTTCTAAAACCTCATCTTGTCTTGGAGAATAAAAATATAACAATAGAATTATTTTATTTTTGGGCTAAGGTAAAGAAACTCAAATGTCCTTTTCAATATATGTAATATGCTTTATGTAGGGAAAGTAGTCTAACAAGGAGAAGAACTCAGAGTAATCTGACAGCAGTCTTGTAGTTGTCACAAAGATGAGGAGTTTGATCTATTCTCCAAAGCTACTTACTGAAGGCAGGAAAAGAAGCAATGGATGGAAACTAATCAAGGAGAGAAGCAGCCTAGAACTGAGGAGAAATTTCCTAACAGTGAGAACAATTAATCAGTGAAACCAGTGCATCTAAAAGTTAAGCAGTATACTATCTTCTTATTTCCTTTTCTTCTTTCTCTTTTTTTAAAAGATATGAGAAATGTAAAAGTGTTGGGCTGGCCTGTATGAGGAAAAAGACTTAAATACTTTCAGTGTAATTAATTTTGAGAAAATCTTGACCAGTAAGAATGTTTTGAATATTGTGGAGAAAACAAATTTAAATAAGAATTTTGTAAACAGGATCTATGACAAGGCAATCCGGACAATCAATTAGAAAAGAAGCTTTATATTGATGTGGTTATTATTTGCAGAAATATTAGAAAAATTTCTATATTTAATTATTTATCCAAATAATAAGAATTGTATTAATTCAAGGTTGGCAAAAGAGAATATTATTGGAAGAAGAGAAAATCAAGCAAAGCTATTATGCGGACTATAGAATTATAGAAACTAATTGATTGTTTTTTAAATATAAACCCAGACATGCTGTTTACCAAATATTAAGGTGATTATGTTAAAAAATCAATAAAACATATATTTTTTAAAAAAATAGTTGTAGTTGCTCCATCACCCGAAGTTTTCAAGAGGATTCTGGACAGTGTCTTGTCCAGAATGGTATAACGGCTCCTGCTTGAGCAGGGGGTTGGACTAGATGACCTCCAAGTTCCCTTCCAACCCCATTGCAGGTAGTCAGTGACCGACAACAGTGACCACTTTAGTGACCATTGAAAGTTACAACTACACTGAAAAAAGGTGACTTATGACCATTTTTCACACTTATGACCTTTACAGCATCCCCACAATCATGTGGTCAAAATTTAAATGTTGGCAGCTGGTTCATATTTATGACCGTTGCCATGTTCCAGGGACATGCCGTTTTACCTTATTCATTTAA